TTAGCCAAAGAGGCGATTATTTGGCGGTTTGTGACAATCGGAAGAATCTGATTGTCTTTGAATTGGCGGACAATCGTTGGACACAAATATTTCGGACAAAAGTGTCGCGAAATTGCATTAAAGTGTTGTTCTCGTTGACCAAGAAGTCGGTGATTTGTGGCCATAAATCGGGTGATGTCTTTGAGCACGACTTTGGCGCCGGAAGCGATGGATCAGTTGGCGGTCGACTGCTCTTAGGCCACTGTTCGATGCTTTTGGATTTGATCCAAACGTGTGACTCGAAGTACTTGATTACCAGCGATCGGGACGAGAAGATCCGGGTCTCCCACTATCCCAACACTTATAACATTGAGAGCTATTGTTTGGGACACAAAGAGTTTGTCGCATCTATTGATACCATTAATAACGAGACAATAGTGTCTGGTTCTGGAGATGGATCCATACGTGTGTGGAATGCATTGGACGGCAAACAGGTGTCTGTCCTCATGTGTGACCCAAACGAGACAATTGACACGAATGGCAAAAGTGGGACTCAATTCCCGGTTAAGAAATTAGTGACAAATGATAGAAGAGATGCAAACCTATTGAGTGTCTCTTTCTATAAGCAGAATATGATTAAAGTTTTCTCAATCGACTCGTTATCACTGAAACTGATCCATACATTGGCTTTAGATGAAGAGCCCATTGATATAGAGTTTGATAGGAATAGAAGTGATATCTTATGGGTTGTGTCAGCGAAGGCTCAAAATATGGTAACTGTTTATGAGATCAGTTCAACGAATATAACAAAAGCAAACATTTATGAGAATGTAATCAAAGAACTGAATGCCAGTGAAGGACTTGAAAGCAATTGTGTGAATGAGAGTAAAGATAGCGTTTTGGACGGACTCTACAAACACTGGTTTAATAACGTCGAGACATATCTCCAGAAGAAACTCGAGAGACAGGAAGAAGTGAACAAAAAGAAAAAGTTTTGCAAATATTAGCTTTCAGTTCAGTCACTCATTTCAATGCATTTGGCTTTAATTGTTTGCACTCTTTTTATTTCCTAAAATTTATGTATTTTTCGTAATAAAGAAGTTTTTTCGAGAACTTTGTTTGCCTTTTGGTCTCATCTAATGATTATTAAATAAAATACATATAAATTAAATAAGGAATTAATTATTTATACAAAATTATCAGTGTATTTGTGGAGTGAGCGATAAAATAGTTGTGATATGACAGCGATAACTACATAGAAATTCACAGAGAATTGTATCTATGAGTTATAATTATAGTTATAATTTTTTCTGCGTCTATTAAATGCGAATAACAAACAATATTTACTAAAATTGTCAATAAATTGAAAACAAATTATAATTACTTTCGCAACAAAACTCTTACGAAAAGTCTAGAAATAGTGCGAAACGTTTGCAAAGCCATAAAGTGTTGCATTGAAAGCATTGCTCAATGGGTGTGCAATCCCTGGTCTCCCCCTCCATACCAGTGAATGAGTGAATGGACTGAACTGTTGACAACAGTTTGTGTGATTGTCTTGTGGTTACATTTGCACTAAATCTACACATCTTTTACATTATCGCTACTAAATTGCACTTAACATACACTTATGTCTCACAATTGATCCCTCATTGTCTTCATGAGTGATTCCCATTTGACAATAAATCCGTAGAAATGAGTAATATTTACATTCAAGAGCCGCCAACTAATGGCAAAGTACGTCTTCAGCTGATCCACTCATATATCAATTAATGGTGTCTTTAAAGTGAATGCAATTAATATTTTTTTGTCTCTTACTTAAGGTATTATTGAAGACAAGTGTGGGTGACATCGACATCGAGTTGTGGTCACGAGAGTGTCCGAAGGCGTGCAGAAACTTCATTCAGTTATGTCTTGAAGGCTATTACGACAACAATATCTTCCA